GCTTTAAGCTGGAAATAGGAAGCTGAATATGCATGAATCTTCCTAGCCTAGCTTACTTGTATCTTTGGTACCAGGGATTGAAGTCAGGACCTTGCACTTGCCAGGCAGGGGCTTATAGCCCAGCCTACTTTAAACATATTCACAATGCTTATATTAGCCTACTATTGGGAAAATTAGTATAAAACTCATTTTACAATAGAATGCTGACTACTTCCTTTAATCTACTGAATATTTTGCTACAAGTGAAAATCAGATTGTATGGACATGCTTTCTCATTGTAAAGTAAGAAGATTGATTGATTGATCGACTGAGACAGAGTCTCCATCTGTAATCCACGTGGCCTTGAAGCTGTGGTTCTCCTGCCTTTTTCTCCCAAACTGCTGGACTGTAGGCCTGTGTGACCCACACTTGGCAAGAGTCGAACAGTTTTCACCATGGTAAAGTCAAATCATTGTAAGTCAGGAATGTTTTACTGAATTTTTTAATTAAAGATTTCTAAAACATTCTAATAAACTTTATATTCACCAAGGTAAATTCCTTAGTTGAATAAAATTATATGTGCTTAGCCACTTAGAAATTGTTAAATTGCAAAGAATTCAATTTTCAATAACTGATTTCTAAACTCAGTTAATTTTTTTTTGTGTATGTGTGTTTTAGGGAAGGGTCTACATGGTGTTCAGGGTCTCACAACTAGATCGGACTCATAGTGATCTGCCTGTTTACAGCCTCCCAAGAGCTGGGATTATAGGCATGTGCCACCACGCCCAGTCTTAAACTCAGTTAATTTGGAAAGTACAACTTTGTGTCATGATGGGGACTCTAAGAGCAACAAATGACCTTGGGTACAATTCAATATTCCCTGTGAACACAGTACAGTACATGGTTACATGTGGGAATAGAAAACTGCACATTGGGTTTAGAATTTGGATCTGAGACCCAGCTATGAACCAATTGTATAACTTGAGACTATTACTTAATTCTCCATTTCCTCATCTGTTATAAAAGAATAATAATCCTATTTGCTGTATAGGTTTGTTATGAGGACAAATTGATAGGAATAAACAATTCCATTAGTCCTAGCCCATAGTAAGTGCTTAATAAAGGCTAACCATTTCTGTCTAGAAAAAAAGACAAAAGGAAAAGGTATGAAAGAGCCACTTGATTAACATGAAGTACCTGCTTGTTGCTAGTCACAATCTAGATACACAAGATCGTTTTTTTGAGCAAAGAAACAGCGCTCCTCTGTTCATGTGTTTAGGCTAGTCTTTGCACAAATCCAGAAGGCCGTGTTCATGAGGCAGCCTGTGTGAACACACT